TAGAATAGAAATGTTATCAACCTTGATAACATAAGAATACAGATGACAAAAGTTGAGAGGGGAGAGTCAAAAGGAAGCATAGGGTGTTAATGTTGTCATCTTACACAATAGCCAAGAAATACTGCTGACAGCCAATAAAATAAGAAATAAAGGTGCAGCCCTGGCCGGTTTGGCTCAGCGGTTAGAGCGTCGGCCGGCAGACCAGAGAGTCCCGGGTTCGGTTCCCGACAAGGGCACGTACTTCGGTTGCAGTTCTTCCCCAGCCCCAGTTGGGGTTGTGTGGGTGGCAGCCAATCGATGTGTCTCTCTCACATCAATGTTTCTCTCTCTCTCTCTCTCATTCTTCCTCCCTCTCTCCCTCCACCTTTATCTGGAGAGTAATGTAAAAATATCCTTGGGTGAGGATTAAAAAAAAAAAGCCCGGCCCATGTGGCTCAGTGGTTGAGCACCCACCCATGTACCAAGAGGTCACCAGTTCGATTCCTGGTCATGGCCCATGCCCAGGTTGTGGGCAAAATCCCCAGTAGGGGGGCATGCAGGAGGCAGCCAATAGATGTTTCTGTCTCTCTCCCTCTTTCCCTTCCTCTCTGTTTTAAAATCCATAAGGTAAAAAAAAAAAATTTTAATAAAGAGTGGGAGGGAGGGAGGAAGAGAAACATCGATGTGCAACAGACATATTGATTGGTTGCCTCCTCCACGACCCTGACTAGGGCCAGGGATTGAACCTACAACCCAGGTACATTCCCTTGACCAGGATCGATCTTGTGACCCTTTGGTCCACAGGGCGACACTCTAACTGCTGAGCCAAACTGGCCAGTGCTGTTTGTTTTTTTTTTTTTTCTTTAAAAAAAAAAAAATAGTTTTTTTAATTGATTTTAGAGAGAGAGGAAGGGAGAGGTAGAAACATCGATGAAAGAGAACATTGATTGGCTGCCTCCTGCATGCCCCCTACTGGGGATTGGGCCCACAACCTGGGCATGTGCCCTGACCAGGAATCAAACCAGTGACCTCTTGGTGCATGGGTTGATGCTCAACCACTGAGCCACAGTGGCCAGGCTGTTTTCTTTTTTAAAAAATGTTTTTATTGATTTCAGAGAGAGGGAGAGGGAAAGATAGAAACATCTATGAGAGAAACATCAATTGGCTGCTTCCTGCACACTCCCTATTGGGCACAACCCCGGTATGTGCCATGCCTGGGAATTGAACCAGCAACCTCCTAGTGCATGGGAGGGTGCTCAACCAGCTAAGCCACACCAGCCCGGCTATTTTGTGATTCTTAAAGCTTTTCACACCCAGCTGGTGTGGCTCAGTGAACTGAGCATCATGCCATGGACTGAGAGATCCTGGTTCGATTCCTAGTCAGGGCACATGCCTGGGTTGCAGGTTTGATCCCCAGTAGCGGAACATGCAGGAGGCAGCTGATTGATGTTTCTATTTCTCTCTCTAAAAAAAATGAATAGAACATTTTTTTTTTAAAAAAAGCTTTCACTATGCCTTCTTATACCACTTGAGTTCAGAATCACATAAAAGTATAATTTTAACAGAAGCAGGAAAAAAAGTCTAACAATTTAATTTAGAACCAACTATTAGTTCTATTTTTCCTTACCATATATTTTCCTATGACTGATGCCATGCTTGATGGCATTTGCTCCATTCAGTTCTCTTGAAAATGACCTCACCACCTGGATGGGACTAAGGTCATTCAGTGAGCACTCCTCTAATGACCCTTTTCCCCACCTGAACTCTGGTCATTAATCCAAAATCTTTATCTTCTTGCATGTACCTCAGAATCTCTCAAAAGAACATCCTCACCTCTAATTCATCTTTAGTTGTTTATCATCCTTCTATTCCTCGGCCCCACACCCATACATACCTTCTGCACGGAAACTGTTCTCTCTACATGATCAGCGACACCAATTTCCAAACCTGCTGGCATGTTTTTCAGGCCTCATTTTTCTCACTGCTCTGCTGCAGTCCGCACGGTAGACTGTCTTTGCCTTACTGAGAAGGTTTCCTCCCTTTGCTTCTGACTCTCCTAGAATATCTCATGGGAATGTGAATATATGCCGTTAGCTGGCAACATCGTAACAGAATATACCTAGGAGTTACAAAGTGTGAAACAAGTATAATGAATAGTTCTTTTTATTTATTTATTTTTTTGGTACGTGCCCCTAGAGGGAACTGAACCCGGGACTCTGTTCCGCAGGCCAACGCTCCGACCACTGAGCCAAACCGGCCAGGGCATGAATAGTTCTTTAAAGTTTACTTATAAAACCTGTCAGAAAATAAACTTTTTAGGAATACTACTATATATGACCATCTTAATTACCCCAGCTGGCAACACAAGCCATAGAGCTAACTCATATACAGGTTTATTGCCTGCCTTTTTTTTGAGAATTTTATTTTTTATTTATTTTTATTATTTTTGTTACAGATGTTTCTCCTTTTCCCCCCACTGATTCCCCGCTACCTCTCCCTCCCCACCCTGTCCCCAGCTTTGTTGTCCATGTCTACTGTTCATGCACACATGCATATAAGTCCTGTGGTTTATCTCTCCCCCACCACCCCTGCTTCTGGGGATTGTCAGTCTGTACCCCACTTCACGTCTCTGGGACTACCCCATTCCTCAGACTGTTATGTTCATTATATTCCACAAATAAGTGAGATCATATGATACTTGTCTTTCTCTGTTTGGCTTGTTTCACTTAAGATAATACTTTCCAGGTCCTTCCATGTCTGCCTTTTTTTTAAAAAACTAGTATTTTTAGTATGTCTTTTACCAAGTACATCCATAGAGATTGGGACTTTTCATAATATTGATATTATAGTAGTTGAGAATTAAGGAAGATATGAAAGGTTTATGTTCTACAACTTACAAGTATGGCCTGGCAGAAAGCTGCCCCCGGAGTCTGCTTCTTGTCTTTATCATTGTTAAAATATGACTACCCTACAGTGATAATATCTGCAGTAATTCAAACAAATGGCAACTTCTATTTATACACAGTGATTACAACATTAGCTAGTATAGATACAGAAAAGCAAGAGTCTACAATAGATTGGTCAGCCTTAGGTATTGGAAATGGGTCAGTAAAGAGCCTCAGAAATCAGATGAAGAGTGCTTGCAAAGCTACGATCACAAACAAGAGCAGAGAAGCAGCCAACACTTAATACAACCTTGCCATGGAAAATCAGTCATACCAATTTCAGTTATGAAGTTTATGAGCAAAACTCTGACATTTTTTTTCCTTTATTGATTTTAGAGGAAGTGAGAGGGAGAGAGAAACATCGAAGAGAGAGAACATTGATTGGCCACCTCTTGCACGCCTCCCACTGGGGACTGGGCCCACAACCTTGGCATGTGTCCTGACCAGCAGTCGAACTGGTGACCTCTTGGTGCATGGGTCAACGCTCAATCACTGAGCCACACCGGCTGAACAAAGCTCTGACATTTTTTCATTCACAGGAATACTTGAGTATAAAGGCCAACTTCACTGAAGGCTAGGCATGGCTGAGAATGAGAATCAAGCATTCTCTCTCTGTATCCATATCTTTAATCTGGTTTTCCCTTACATTTCCAACCCAATATTCTGTTTTACTTTACTTGTTCAACAAGCATTTGAGTAGAAGCTGTTTCTAGGTGTTAGGCATACAATGAGTTAGACTTCCCTCTAAAGAAGTTAAAAGTTGAGCTGAGATCAGAAGAAAAAGAGCCAGCCAAGCTCTGAACCGGGGAAGTGTTTGAAGGAAAAGAAATGTGTTGAACAGGAGGAGGAGGCTGAGGTTTATATGTTAAGAGTGGAAGCAGGGTGGTGCGAGGAGATGGGTAAGGGCACAGTGTGCACAAGGGAGCAGGAGTAGAAGGTGATATGTTGTTATGACAGCAGTTGTTCAGGTAAAAAATATTAGTGACTTGGTACGGTATGGTGGTGGCAGTGGAGAGAAATACAAATTTCAGTACATCTTGGTGGATGGTGGTCCCAACTTGGGGAATGAAGGTTGGTCCGAGTACCTAAATTGAAGTCTGGAGGAAAAGGACAGTGTTAGGGAGAATTAAGAGAGTTCCTTCACATGCCATGTTCTCCAGCCAAACGTCCTTATACAGATCAACATTTTCTTAATTCCTTGACTATTTGAAAATAACATTTCCTCTACTGAAAATTATCTCCTTCATTCCTTCCCCTCCCTCCACCCATGCCTACAGTAACCTATCTTTTCCTTAAAGAATATATTTTTTTTTTATCCTCGCCCAAGGACATTTTTCCATTTTTTGTTCAGACAAGAGTAGGAGGGAGAGAGAGAGAGAGAAACATCGACATGAAAGGGACACACCCAGTGGCTGCCACCCACACGACCCAACCAGGGCCGGGGACAAACTGCAACCCAGGTACGTGCCCTTAGCGGGAACCAAACCCAGGTCTCTCTGGACCGCAGGTCCATGCTCTAACCGCTGACCCAAACCAGCCAGGACCAGTAACCTATCTCTTAAAGCCACCTGTAGGACTTCCCTGATCGTACCACTCACTCATCCCATTTATCCCAAGTTGAGTAACTCATTCCTCCAAACTTGCTGGAAATTTATTTCTACCTCTTAAGGAATGTAATACTTTCTACCAGCATTAAATTTTCTGTACATATAATAAACATACATATTACATATATAACTTTACAGAATGTAAGCTCATCTTATTCATCTTTCTATTTCTGCCAATACTGTGCTAGTGTATTTTATACATGACATGGCGAAGATTCACAATCTGCCAACATGTAATGTTACCATAACTACAAAGCCTCACCCGAGGACATTAAAAGACTTTACAAATATAAAAGTGAGTTGCTAGAATCTCATTAAGTTAAAAGAATATTTAAGACTACAATAATTCTTTCTGTATACAGTAGTGGCTGAAATCTAAATGAATCAACACAAAATATACTAAGAAACAATGTAACACTTAAATGAGACAGAAATTGCAAATTAAACCAATAGAAATTAAGTAGATCGGTTTATTTTTCTGTATATATCACAAGTATAATTTTGGAAGGGCTATTTAACAGATTTCAGCATTAACTGCCAACTCTATAGACATATTCAACAACAAAGGCATTTATTCTTGGCCCTTTTACACAGGAGCAGTGTCATTGCATCACAAATGGTAAGAGATGTGATAACATATTTGAGGGCATATTAAAAGAATTAGATATTTCCTTCCAAATGCCATTTAGTTCTTAACACAAACATACATTAATGGTTATGACCACCAGTGACTTGCAGAATAAAACTTATAGGCCTACCTACTTAAAAGACTAAAACTATTAAAATAGGTGTTTTTACTTATTTTCACAATCCCAGAATGAGATTTTCTTTTGTCTTAATTTTACAAGGTGTCGTGGGGAAAACCGGCAGTGTATGCTGAGTTGCAGAGTTGGGACAGTGGCTCAAATTCATCATTATCCAGATTAAGATAAATGTTTTAGAAAATTTAAAATATGTCCTTAATTATATTCCTATTGGGAATGATAGTAAGGATTGATAAGTCACCAGCCCTAAACACCATTTAATAAAAGCCATTAGGAGGCTTAAATAAGCGAATGAGGGATGTAGTAAAATGAGGTGAAAAGCAAAACGAAGAGTGACAATGTGTTTGAATGTTGGGGAATGTGAAAAGGCCACCAAAGAAACTACTTTAGTCACCACTCAGATGTGCTCTTCCTACAGATACCTGCACCTGGCTCACCAAACACCAAGTTTAGAGCACAGTTTAAGTTGAGATTACATTTCAGCTATGATAAAACTCCACTAATTTGGGCTGAGAAAGAATATGTCTGGTTTAGTAAAAAGCATCAATAATATTCAGAGGTATGGTTTTGTTACAAAAGAGCAACTAATTCCAACTGTTCAAGTTATAACAAGAAGAGGCCTTACCTCAATGAACAGTTAAGACTATTTTTAGGTCAGAAACAGAAGGTTGAGTAACTTGTAAATAGACTGCAAATATGCTCCTTCCAGTTCTTCAACAATTATTACTATCCCAAATGCCAAGAACTATAATTATTTTAGTCAGCTGTAGCTTTCAAAAGTGGCATTTTTCTCAAAACTGCACTATCAAGTAGGAGCTACTGAAACAGGTAATTTATTTCAGATGTTAGCCAAGACTTTCATGAAGTATTTATCTTCACTTTACTTCAGCATTCATTTATAATAAACAGGACGATTAAAATTAGCCATTTCTCAAACCACAACTCCACAATCAAAGAAATAGATGATTATGACTGAGCTCATCTAGTCAAAATCTTCATTTTAGCAATGGTGAAACAGCCTGCAAATGTCTTCAAACTAAGTGTTGAGGCAGAATCAAAAATAGAAAAATTTTAAAACTTCTATCCCAAGCACCGATAATGGAGGCTAAGCAATTATACCTACAAATCCTTAAATGACAGGTCTTTCCCAGTGGAAAATCCTGAGATTTTAAGCATGGTGACTTTATAGAAGGCAGGTTGGTTTAATGAGGAAATTTACTTTTAATAAAAAGACAATCAACAATATTTTATTTTGGGCACTTATTCAGTATTTCACAGATCCTCAAGTTTTGAGGTAGGTTAATTAGCATTGTATTTTACAAACTAAAACTCAGACAAAGGTTACATCACTTATCGCAAACCACAGCAGAAGAACCACATGTCAAGAATAACATGGTCTAATATTTCAGATTAATTTTCTCTGGTGCGTAGATTTAATGGTGATAGCTTGCACATATTCATTTAAAAAGACGAGATATTGCAGAAATTCTACTTTGGAGTATTTTGTAATTCTTTTTTTCTTTTAAAATATGGAACACTTCACAAATTTCCATGTCATCCCTGCACAGGGACCATGCTAATTAATCTCTGTAACATTCCAATTTTAGTATATGTGCACCAAAGCGAGCACTATTTTGTAATTCTTAAATCAATCCTACAATAATTATATATATATTGTGGAATAACCTACTTGTTCCTATTTCTTAAAATTACATATTAGCACAGTACTGATTTTTTTTTTTCTGCTTTTTGGGGTGGGTAGAGCAGAAAGATAATCAGCCAGCTTTCTTCAAAGCATTAGGCTGTCTTCAAGTGCAGGTGCTATATACTCAAGGCACCATCTACAATTCTTGGGGTCATAGGAAAGCAGGTACACAAATGGAGCCAAGATCCAAAAAAGATGTCTGGATCCAAAAGAAGGGAGGCCCTGTGCAAGTCAAAGATGAAGAGAAAAACTGTATCATCTCAGATTATTGATCCTCATTATCATACTACAGCATTATGACAACTTATTCGGGAAGCGCTCCTAATAGAGCAGTAAATTTGTCCCAGTAAAGTCTGTTCAAGTTCTTACTAGATTTTGTTTTTTTTAAAAAAAAGCAAAAATAAATTGATAGTTTATTAAAGTGACATCTACAGAAGCAAAACATCTGAATATATTAGTATGCGTATGTTCCACCTATCATGTAAATTCCTCTGTCACAAGCCTAATTTACTTAGCTCATCAGAATTTCTTAAAATTATTTACCAGAGTTTAGCTCATCCTGACATAGGTTTCCTGGGCCAGTCTTCTCAAGTATTTGTCTCATTATAAAGTTCCTTTTATTTAAACAACTGTCAAATATTAATAATAATACAGGAATAAGAATGATTAACTGAAAAGTGTAAGGAAAACATGATTATAAAATACAGCAGTCAGCAGAGCAAATTTCAAGAGCAAGAACACAGACACCTATGCTTCCAAATAGGGTGAACAGCACAGCCCAGCATGATTTGAGTCAAAAAAAAGGCAAGAAAAAAAGGAGGGAGGGGCCACAGGAAGCAGAGCATCGAAACCTTTTATAGTAGTGTCCCCAAAACTGGCTGTGGAAGTAAAAAGTTTCTACATTTAAAAAGTTTATATAAATTACATAAATTGTAATTTTCATAAAAGTCAAAATGAAATGTTCTGCATAGGACAAAAGATATGCCTAAGCAACATATCATATTTGCACAAGGCCACTGAATGTCATGGATATTAGGAACAAATGAAAAAGCTTAAGTCTATGGCAGACTGAGCAAAGATTTCAGTTTGGTATTCTAGTAAGCCCAAGATTATAAACTAGTCTTACTATATAAAGGCTCTAATGACATACAGAGTTTTGTGTAGGAACTTTTGTGCTTCTGGTTGGCACATCATCTACTTTTTAATATACGAAATTAATACAGACATTTGTGAGAGGTTGTGCAAAACTATTGTATTTACAAAAATGGCACAAAAGTGAATTCAACAGTCAATGCACATGCATACTTCATTCATATCTTTAATAACAAAAGGTACTCTAACTACAGAACTGATTAAGAATATTAGCTTCAACGGCAGTTGTTAAGCACTAGGGTCACATAAGTTACACCAGAATGGGCAAATATTGCCCAAGTAAACTTCTATTGTTAAAGCTGAAACAGGTTTAAGGCCATTCAAGTTCAAGCACAGAAATACAAATCTTTTGGAGCCCCATCTATTTGTGTTTGAAATATGTGACTTTTCTTCCAACTTGTGGTCTTAAACATCTGTTTATAAAATCCAAAAGGAAGATACAGAAGTCAATACAATAGAGGTTAATTAAATAAGAATAACATACAAAGCGATAATTAGGATGAATTAAAGAAAGCCAAAACATTAAAAATGTAAAACTTGCTTGGTAGTTGTTAGGACCAATCCTACACTAGGAGTTAGGTAATATATACAATTATTTTCAAGTAGATTACTTTATGTTGCTCTAACGTGTTCTCTTCATCAGTGCACTGTTAAACTAATCAAAAACTCTACACATGTATCTTCCTTTACAATAGCAGCACACACTACCACTACCTGCAAAGCTGTCACTCTCAAATGACTTAGTGAATGAACGGAAATAAAAAGCGGGGAAGTAACAGATTAAGGAAAAACGATGCGAATTAGAAGATTCATGCAGTTCCACTCTTTTAATCAGCCGGCCAGCTTGCTAGCAACAAGGGATGGTTTCCGTTGAGGAAGGTCCTGTGGAGTGGGAATGTGGTCACCAGTGACCTCTGTCTTATCCGGGGCTGCAGTAGGAAGCTGCTTGTTCTTCATTTTTGCTTTAGCCATGTTGTAATCTCCAGAATCAAAATATTTTTGCTACAAGGAAAAAAAAATTCAGAGAATTCAAAAGTCTTCATATGCCAATTACACTGGTTTAAAGTTGTAGATATGACCTTATACTGTCAGTATAAAATAAGTTATTGTAACAAAATTTAAATGAAACAGCTATGTCTCTGTGTAGAATTTCAGCACAAGTTAGCAACCAAGAAGTCAAGCAACAACCCCTCCCTTCAGGCTTACTTATATCATTCTGGTTTTAGGACAGAACACTCAAGATTGACATCAACTTCCGTGTTAATCCATCCAGGAACGAACAGTCCTGGACTAAAAGAGTGAAATGCAAATCTTTCATTTACTAATGGGAAAAGCAAGCTGATATTCTTAAGTGATTTTGAAAATAAATTGCATAAACTCACCAACTTGAGATTAGGATGTGCCACCCACTTTCAAGTAACCTTATAGTTATTAAAACTATTATTTATGATTGCCTGTACTATTACCTAGGATAAACATATCTGCAAGGATTAAAATCATTTAGTTGAACCAGAGTAGTTCACTAAAATAAAAATTAAGGTTAACATTACTGTTTTAAGTATACAAGGTGGTGTGGGTGCTCAAAGGAGAGGAAACTAACACCTCAGTCTAGGATAGGCAAGAGGGAATAATCCAGGTATGAGATGGGGCCCTGGACAAAGGGTGAGAGGGGAAAAAGCAAATACTCTCTTTTGAGACTTAAGGAATACTTTATGTGGTAAATGAAGTAGCTGGGAACTCAGAGCTTAGCAGTATAAGATTGAGTGGCTTGAGAAATGGTCTCATTGGCTGCCTCCCTCCAGGGACTATTCTTTGATAAACCAGATCTGGTGTAAGGCCAAAGGGTCTGAAGTTAGAAATCGCTTTTCATTTGTTGTTACGTGTAAACACATTGAGCAATAACAAGGAAACTGGGACCAGGCCTTTCTAAGACTTGCTGCAGCTTCATTTCTGCATGGTATAGTGAAAAATAATCTCCGAACTTCTTATGCGCTACTTGTATCAGAGAGCTACTACTTACTTGGTTAGTAGCCTCTAGAGGAGAACAAAGCAGCCTGCCGAGTTCTTTTACTGAGTCAAAAGCACAAAATGAAATATTTAACACACCATACAAATTGTAGGCAGATTTGCCCCAATGTAATTTCTAATGACACCTATTTTTTTTGTTAATTCTCACCTGAGGATATTTTCCCACTGATTTCTAGAAAGAGTGGTAGGGGAGAGGGGAAGGGAGGGAGGGAGAGGCAGGCAAGCAGACATCGATGTGAGAGGGACACATTGACTAGTCACCTCCCACACAAACCCTGACAGGGGCTGAGAACTGAATCTGCAACCCAGGTAAGTGCCTTTGACCAGGGATCAAACCCAGGACCCTTTGGTCCTCAGGCGGACGCTCTAACCTCTGAGTCAAACTTGACCAAGGCTCTAATGATACCTATTTTATAGTAAGCAAAAGTTCATCATAAGGAGATTGCACTTAACTGTAGATTAGGCTACTGTGCTCGGGAAAAGGAACTAAATGTATTTTGTGCAGCTACAGGCAAAACTAAAATCAATGCTTAGCAATTATAACTGCTCTAGGTAGAAGAGTAAAGAGATAAATGTTTCTCATATTGGGACAGTTACAGCCTAAGAAGACAATATTAGTTGTCTTTAACAATTTTTAAATTTTGTGTTTTTTTAATATAAAAAAATCTTTTTTTTTTTAATCCTCACCCGAGGATATTTTTCTATTTTTGTTCAGGTAGAGTGGGAGGGAGAAAGAGGAACAGAGAGAGAGAGAGAAACATCGATGTGAAAGGAACACATCGAGTGGCTGCCACCCGCACAACCGACCAGGGCTGGGGACAAACTGCAACCGAGGTACGCGCCCTTAGCGGGAACCGAACCCGGGTCTCTCAGGACCGCAGGCCGATGCTCTAACCACTGAGCCAAACCGGCCAGGGCTAAAAAAATCTTTAAAAGTTAACAAAACATATCTGGATCATCTGGATGACAATCTTATAAAACCTCTTCCCATCCATATTTAGGGTGCACATTTACATCAATCTTTATATTTGCACTGACACTAAGTGATCACCTAAGTAACAATGTTGAACTTTTAAGACTATGTTTCATAAAACTGGATCCTCAGTTTTCTTGGGACTTCACAAACTCCCCAAATAGGAAAAAACAAACAGACATGGACTGGTTCACGATATCCTACACAGCTCTGACAGTCTATGTGGTCATTATGTATAGATCATATTGTTAAAGCCTAAACTAGGTATCAATTCTTGACATCTCATAATAACATTGGGAAGTACAGTGAAACAGAAAGGGACCTCAAATAAGTAACATCTAACCAATCCTCTCAAATTAAGAAGAAACTAAAGATATAATGCAATTTGTCAGCTTGCTATTACAACAGAGAAAAACTAAAACCCAGGACTCTGTGATACAGGCTTCTTTAAAAAATCAACTCTTAACATAGAATTATGGTGTATAGTTATTTCTTGCTTCAGTGGCATTTTTCTCATTTGCAACTATTTACACCTACAATACTAACTTCAAGATAACACTTTGTTCACTTATCACGATGTAACCATCTCCGTGCTTTTCAATAGTGCTGCGGCTTCTAATTATAGATAAAGCTACAATGAGTATCTTCAAACTTAAAAATATGATTGTTCTTATTTACATTTCACCGATATCTATCATGGGTATTTTTCTCAGTGTTTAATATCTATCTATATTTCATGTTAAAATCCTTAACTTAGAGGCTCCTTAATGTTTTTCTTGTATATGTGAAAGATTTCTTTATGTAGTACAGATAATATCTATCAGTTTTGTAATAACTACCCCACTAAATTACTTCTCATGGAACAGTTTTTACATTTTTATATGTTTGGTATAACTCTTCCTTGACATCCTATTATTTTCAAAACGGTGAGTGTTATTTCAAGTAAGATAAGAAAAATAACATTCAATTATTATTAATAAGTAATCTTCTTTAAAGCCAGAAAAGTTAAAAAATACAATAAATTCTGTTTTGGCTATAAATAAAATATTGACACTAAAAAAAAAAAAGCTCTGGACAGTGTGGCTCAGTGAGTTGGAGTGTCTTCCCATACACAGTATACCGAAAGGTCACAGGTTCAATTGCTGGTCAGGGTATTTACTTAGGTTTGAGTTCAATCCCCACCCCCAGTCAGGGCATGTGCAGGAGACAACCTATCTTGGTAGAAAGACACATTGTATGTGATCTCATTTATATGTGGAATCTAAAAGCATCAAACTCACAGACACAGAGTAGGATGGTGGATGACAGGGCTAAGGGGTAGGGGAAATGGGGAGATGCTGGTCAAAGGATGTAAACTTTCGATTGTAAAATGAGTAAGTTCTAGGGATCTAATGTGCAGTATGATGACTATAGTTAACAATACTGGATTGCACACTTCAAAGTTGCTAATAAGAGTAGAGCTTTAAGGGCCTCATTATAACAAAAAAAAATGGTAATTACGCAAGATAAAGGATGTGTCAACTTATTGTGGTAAGCATTTCACAGTATATACATGTATCATTGTACACCTTAAACTTACACAAAGATGTATGTCAATTACATCTCAATAAAGCTGGAAAAAATATCCTTTTGGAATATGATTTGAGAAAATAATACATATAATTATAGCTAATATACACATATAAACATACAGACATGTTTTTGTAATCAAGCTGCAGATAATCAGAATTTAAAAAAATTTTTTTAATTTACTGATTTTAGAGAGGGAAGGAGGGAGGAAGGGGTGGAGGGAGAAAGTGATTTGTTCCACTTACTTATGTATTCATTGGTTGCTTCTTATATGTGCCCTGACCTGGGCTCAAACCTGCAACCTTGGCGTTTAGGGACAACACTCTAACCAACTGAGCTACCCAGCCAGGGCTAGATACCAGCATATTTAAAGTATTCATTTAGGAAGAAACATGATCTGACATCTGATTCAATAAACAATTCTCTTCCATAAGCAATATTTCATTCTTCCCTGCTCCCTGTATGGTAAATAATTTTAATGTGCTTAGACCAAAGATGGAGCTCTTAAATTTTTTATAAACGAAGGAGATAGAAAAGAAGACAAGAACAACCTAAGGAACAAACATGTAACATTATGTCAGTTCAGATCTCATTCTTAAAAAATAATGGTTTCTACCTCAGAAAGTATGGTAACATTTCAAAATGCAACAATTTGAACTAGTAAAATGACAATGAATAAATTCTATCAGAGTAACTGACTGTGAAATGTATTATGTAAGGGAAATAGTAAGCTATTGAAATACTTTTAGTTAAAAGTGATGAGTCCTGGATTGTGAATTCTTTTTTCTTTTTAAATTGTTATTGATTTTTATAGAGAGAGGGAGAGGGGGAGAGAGAGAGAACTGTCCATGTGAAAGAGAAAACGAATCCGCTGCCACCTGCAAGCTCCCAACTGGGGCTCAAGCCCACAACCCAGGCATTTGCTCTCACTGGGAATCAAATCGGTGACTCTGCTTTTTGGTTATTGGGACAACACTCTACCAACTGAGCCACACCAGCTAGGGCTTAAATTCATTTTTAAAAGACTTTTTTATGGAAATAGAATTCTATGTTAACATTTTCTTTTCTTCCTGCAATTTAAAAATGGTATTCACTGTCTTCTCACTTCCATTATTGACAAGTGAATGATCAGTGCTATTGCTTCTCCTTTGAAAGTAATGTGTTCCCACCCCCACCCTTGGCTGTTTTTAATGCTTTCTCTGTTTTGTTTTTTTGGCAGCTTGAGTATGGTATATAGTATGGTATACCTAGATTAAGCTTTCTTTTTGTTTATCCTGCTTGGAGGTCATTAAGCTTCCTCTGGATTGTTAATTCTTATCACAGAATGAACAGTTTAAAATATTGGGGAAAACACACACACGTGCACACACATATAGAGCTATATACTCAGACACCCATTTCACAATCCCTATCAGCAAACTGAGTTTATAAAATTTAAGTATTTGAAGATTACACATAAGAACTTACCCCTTTCTGCAATCGTTTCCTTAAGAAATCTGAACCTCCAGGCTTTTGCCCCAGATGAGGATACCTTGCTTTCAATTTTGCTTCTTCAGCTTTCTCTGGATTAGTCACTTTATCTTCCATTTCCTGGAATAATTTAAAATTACTTCTCTATTACAATTCAGTTATTTAAAATAATTCACCTTTCAATATCTGGATTCTGACTTTAGTTGTCTAATGCCAAATAATGCAGCATCTGACTAAAAAATCAAACACAGAAGCTTTTAAAACATCTCTTGTTTTTCCAGATGATCCATGTGATAGCTCTATTATAGCTGTGTGATGCATGTGTAGCACCCCACACATGGGATAAAAATATCAAGACAGCTCAGCTCTGAAGTCTTGCTTGCCATTACTTTTCAGTCATGTATAATACATTTATAGTTAGTTACCTTCTATGGAATTCATCAGCTCTTTGCCTATATATAGAAAATCATCTTAATACTGTTAAAATACAAAAGGTCTTTTTGATCACCTATTTATCCAAAATCATGCATGATTGGAAGCTCCTGAGATTCTTTAATACAAATTAGCAGCAGCTTACTTACCAGCACATTTTTCCTGAATAATTAAATACAGAAGACTTTTGATATTTGTAAAGGAAACATCATCTTTGTTGATTTTCACATCTGTGTATATTATTGCCTAATTATCCCCGAAAATTAATTAACCTGTTCATGCATTCTTTAATGTATCAAAAACATATTTTCTGTCCTTGCCAGTGGTTAGAGCATTAGCTCATGGATCAAAGAGTCATGAGTTCAATTCCTAATCAAGGGTATGTACCTGGGTTGCAGGTTCAATCCCCAGCCCCCGTGGTTCAGGAGGCAACCAGTGGATGCACATCGATGTTTCTTTCTTTCTGTCTCTCCCCCTTCCTCCCTCCCACTCTAAAGAATCAATGGAAAAAATATCCTCAGGTGAGGATTAAAACACAAAACGTGTTTTCTGACCAAGGACTGTCAACATTTTAAGGCTATTCACTTTTAACACCAGCCTTGATATAGTGTACTTTCTTCCTAAGAGCAACTTTTATAGAAGCAGTGTTCATTGCTTTATGGCAAGTAGTGCGGAAGAATGAATCAAGAAAAACAGAGATGCCCTGATAATGGGAGGCTGGGCAATGGTGAAGTGCACTTTGTAGCTAATGTACTCATTTCCACATGCCAGCTCAGCAAAATGACACACCCCTGCATATCCCAATACTCCCAGGTTATTTATGAATAGTCAAAATGCAGGAATGCTAAATCCATAAATGTCAAACCTACTGTTCCTGTAGAACAAGTAAAATTTATCAATCTAGGAACTGAAGAAACAACTTTTGTACAAGTTTTGCATATATTTCCCTCAAAATTATATTCATATATGTTTTATAATTAGTTTTATTCACCTTATATATTGTCGATATTTCCCTCATCTTGAACAACTTCGTGTATTGTTACATCTTCTCATTTTTAGTCTTAGAGGATTTTGAGAATAAAGCTGCTTCTGTCAAATATACTTGTTCTATGGGGCTTTTTTTTTTTATGTATAGGCTCCCTTCTGCTTCAAGTGTTTCACTTTCCACCTTTTATGCTGCAGTTTCATACATCTATTTTGATTTTTAGTCTCTTTACAGTGGTCACATCATTCACTCACTTGATGTACACAAAATTCAACTATGTGTGTTCAGCCAGAGATAAAGACTCTAAACAGCATCATTGATTCTGCCAGTCACTCCATTCAAGGGTTGGCTCCAGAGAGTTGAAGTGTGAGGTTTGTGATGCAAACCTCCCATTCCCATGGTCTCAATCCCTGGGCATCAGTTGAGAGTGTAAGCAAATATACATACTATTTATCATTCTAGTGATGAAAAACTCAGCCTCTACAACACAAGCCTACTACCTCAGCTAACAATCAAATGAAGAAATCAGCCCAGCCATCTGTTCAAACACTAGACAAGAAAGTGAATACTTACTTGACCTACTGAGATTGATGAGACACTTTCCAATATGATCATAACTTTGTTGGGATTTTTTTCAAGTGGGATTTTAGTTATATGTGATTTTGCCTTACAAACTTAAAAAAATTTTTTTTCTGCCCTGGCCAGTTTGGCTCAGCGGTTAGGACGCTGACCTGCGGACTAAAGAGTCCCAGGTTCGATTCCAGCCAAGGGCACATACCTCGGTTGCAGTTCGTCCCTGGCCCTGGTTGGGGTCTTGTGGGTGGCAACCAATTGATGTGTCTCTCTCACATCGATGTTTCTCTCTCTCTCTCTCTCCCTCCCTTCATCCCTCCTGCTCTATCTGAAGATAAATGTAAAAATATCCTTGAGTGAGAGTAAAAAAAAAATTTTGTTTTTTTTCTTTACTGATTTGAGAGATATAGAAACCGATGAGAGAGATCATCGATTGGCCGCCTCCTACATGCCCCCCACTGGGGATTGGGCCCACAATCTGGGCATGTGCCCTGACCAGGAATCAAACCAGTGACCTCTTGGTGCATGGGTTGATGCTCAACCACTGAGCCCTACCGGTCAGGCCTTACTAACTTTAAATTTAAGGTTACCAGTTTCATGTATTAGGTGGTCTGGGTCACTGCAATTTATTCTCTGTGACTCTGCCTTCACTCAGGCATCTACTATGGCCCCAGGGTATTTGCAGCGCTACAATTCAGAAGTGGAATTGGGAGGAAGGACCTACACTTGAGTTCCATTGTAAATTTGTTTTTTAAACTGGTTGACATTAAATTTGGACGTGGGTTAGAAAGGACTCCAACCTGATTGCAGCCTTCTGAGCAAATTAAAGGGTGTTAACTGAGTCCCACATTTCCATTAAAACCATCCAGCTTTCTTGGGCCGAGGAAATAAAAGTGCTCTTCTTCTCCCTTTGTTTGAGTATTGGTTCTCTGTATTTAAGAGAGATTCCTTAAAATTTCTTGTATAAGTGTAGCAACTTACCCTAATTTGCAGTATATCTTCAGGTTTTCCCCATTTTACCTGGCATCCCCTTATTATTTTAATAAGGAAAACATTTATATATTTATGTATATAATAGTAATTATGTTCAATTAAAATAATATACTATAGAAAAAAGTTTGGGGGCAAAACAGCAACTACGGCTGAAAAGATCATTTAGGTTCAGAATGGATTTATGTGTTCTGAAAAAAACAAAACAATTCCTGGACTTTCTTGCCAAATACATGACACAAGGCAACTCCTTGCTAGATGCAAATTCATAGCCAGATTCATAATTTGAGCTGTACTTAACACCAAAGGGTGAAAATATGACCAAAACATAGGAAGTTACTTTTAAACATAGTAAATACCATCAAGATGTCCACAATACTTTTCATGGATCATAAAAAACCATCTTAACCTTCGGCAGATGAACAGTTCTAGGATCTTACTGGTAAGCAAGTTTAAATGCTTGTTGGATATTCACCAACACTCTGACACAGCTACAGATTTGTTTGTGGAGTAAAGTATAAATAACACGGCAGGTGGCAGACTGGGTCCACTGGCATTCAGCGGAGTTACCCTTTTCTAAAAACTCCCCTGAGCCCTGGCCAATTTGGCTCAGCGGTTGAGCATCGGCCTGAGGACCAGAGAGTCCCGGGTTCAGTTCCTGCTAGGGGCACGTACCACAAAAAAATAAAAATAAAAACTCCCCTGAATCAGTAGTTCGAAGCCTGTAACAACATTTCCCAGACTGAATTCCTATTAGGTTCTGCTAATGGTACCTACACCAGATTAAAAAGCATGCAAGAAAGAATCTATTCTGTTCCTGATGTTGCCACCAACAATGTAGCAGTGGCTCCTGTAGGGGGGCATGGAGCAGATAATCTGGGGTAATGTAGCAATTACATTAGAGTGAGTATGGAGGACAATGGGCTCAGAACAGTGCTCACTCTTGCAGGGTCAACGCCTTTCCCCTCACTACTGGAAACATTATCTTCCCCCTTTGCTCTTCTATCCCTTCTCATACTTTGTAAACTAATCCCCTAAATCACCCCTTTCTGTTTGAAATACCCCAAAGGGTTTCTATCCTCCAGATAGGACACCAACAGATAAACTCTGGTAAAATAAGCAACTTATCCCTATGGTCATGTTTATTTTCTTTCTTTTTTTTGTTAATCCTCACTCGAGCATATTTTTCTATTCATTTTTAGAGAGAATGGAAGAGAGGGATGGAGGAAGAGAGAGATAGAAACATCGATGTTAGAGAGATACATCAATTGGCTGCCTTCCGCACAACCCGATTTGGACTGAAGTTGGAACCTACAACCCAGGTATATGCACTTGACCCGAGCTGAACTCGAGACCCTTCCATCTGAGGGCTGACACTCTAACCACTTAGCAAAACCGGCCAGGGCTCTATAGTCACGTTTTAAAAATGCAAAAGGGGACAAAGAATTTAGTGTGATTACATGTTTCTGAACATCCTTCAAAAGAATTCCTGAACATTTAATTATTTAAAATTGATCTTCAGAGCGAGAGAGAGAGAGAAACAAATCAGTTGCCTCCTACACTCCTTGACTCACCAGGGATCAAATATACAACCTAGGTATGTGCCCTGACCAGGAATTGAACCCATGACCCTTGGATATATGGGATGGCACTCCAACCAACTGACTCACACCAGCTAGGGCTATTTCTGAACATTTATTTCAGCTATAATTAAAATAAATCCCCCAAAAGATATGAGATGTAGAAGAAACTAGCAAACAAAGAAATTGCTAAATGTACATATATAGTGACAAACTAGTCACTTTTCTCATTTTTTCCTTAGCTTTGAGATATAATTAACATTCACTTTTCTTATTTATTTTTTAAATTAAAAAACAATTTTTTTGCCCTGGCCGGTTTGGCTCAGCAGTTAAGAGCGTCAGCCTGTGGACCAATTCCAGTCAAGGACACGTACCTCGGCTGCAGTTCGTCCCCAGCCCTGGTCGGGTCATGTGGGAGGCAACCAGTTTATGTGGCTCTATCACATCGATGTTCCTCTCTTCCACTCTATCTGAAAATAAGTAGAAAAATATCCTCAGGTGAGGAATTAAAAAAAAACAACAACAATAAAAAATTTTTTTGCTTTACTGATTTTAGAGAG